GTAAAGATGAATTAGGAAATAATATTGATTCCGAATGGGAGAATAGTTTCTATACGTTTATTCATCCTAATAGATATGTTGTGTGTCAGATTAAAACTTGCGTCAGATTAAAAGGCCTAAATTAGAGTTAGAGTTAGGGTTAGGGTGAAAACTAGGATTTAGCAAGGCCGATTATTGCAGATCATTTAATGCTGGCCTAATGGTTTTAATCTGACGCACAACAGATATGCTGTCGAATATTATGAAAATCCGCTATTCAGGTGTTTTTCCAGTAAATAAATCGTATAGATTTCATAAACTATGCAAAATCCGATCAAGAAAAAAGGAATCAAAAAAAAAAAAAAAAGAATAAAGATAAATTCGAAACTTATATTAAAAATTTTAATGCTAATAATGAAGATGATGATATTATGAAATTTTAATATTTTTTTTTGATTCAATCATGTTTTAATCTATTTTATTATTATTATTATTATTATTTTCCCGACACTTGGAAAAGTTTTTTTTTCAATTCGATTTTGCTAAAAAAAATCGTCATTATTTTTTTATATTATTGTTTTATATTGTTATTTTTAAATTATTAGTACGACGTGATATTGATGAATGATCTGCGTAATGTGATTATCCAATGTATAAGTACCCATCGTAGTGTATTAGAACCCACAAATATGCTACGTACATTTTAAAGAACATATTTCATAGCACAAAGAATTTATATATTTATGCATATTGAGAAAATATCTTTCTAATCAATTAAGAAAGACATCTTATTACATAATTACATAAGATTATCAGTTTCAAGATTAATGTTTTCCTGTAAGGCTTTCATTAATTCAAAATCCTTTTTAGCAATAATTAAAAAAATGGCTTTTTTTAGTATCAATAAAATCAAACCCAATTGTTTTCAAGTGTTTTTCTTATCACCTTTAAAAAAAACATCATCAGATCAAAGAAAGTCCATCATTAAAACATTACCTTAGTTCTTATTTGATTTTCTTAAAAAGTATTTGTTTTTTTAAGATTTCTTATTTGATCTTTTTGAAAATTATTTGTTTCTTTGAGGTTTCTTATTTGATTCTTTTGTAGATCACTTTCTTCTTGAAGGATTTTATTTATTTCAGAAAATTCATTAACTACATCTAATTCCTTAATAGTTAGTTGAAGATAGGGATGAGAATCGAATCTTTGATAATCGTTTTAATCGTTAATCGAATTAGAATCGATTCTCATTTTTGTGTAAT